TTTTTTTTTTTCCTTTTTTTCATGTTTTTTTTTTTTTTTTTTTTTTTTTGTAATAGACTTACACAAAGTGGAGCATAGCTTGTAAAGTGGAAGAAAATTGAGCCGTGGCTTTAAACATTTTTAGAAATATAACTTTGATGTGTAAAGTGTATTACCCAACATCCAGGTCTGTGCAATTAATTTAGAAATCACATATTTAAAAAAAAAAAATTGAACCCATATTTATTTTCAGTAATATGAGTGTCACGTCACAGTCTTAGAGGTTTGAGGTGGTAAATTAAACTACTTATTTTTCTCCCAGTCATATGGACAAAACAAAATATTTCAATGCTAAAAATCAGACTCTGTGACCTGCATCCGTTCCTGTACGACACCTGAATCCTGTTGTTCTGCAAGCAGTAACATCCAGCTGAGGAGATCGGACACGATGCGTGACTTTAACTAATGTTTGCTTCCGAGCAGACTAAACCGCCACACCTTAATAAGTCCACCGAATGGTTTGTGCAAATAGTTGAGCAATCTTGAGAATGTTTGACTTGAGGTGACAGCAAACTGAGCTGAACACCAAAGATGTACAAAAGTATAATTGCAGTTTAACACTTAAACCTTCAGATTTGCTTGCAAACAATATGGCTGGGCAAAAATAACTACAAAAAAAATCACACTGTGTTACACTGAGAAAATAATACTAATGCTACCTGTTAACTGCCCTGCTATGGACTCATTCTAAAGATTTTTTCAAACAAAAACTCAACAAAGATTTATTTTCGAGCCACATATTTTCTCATTTGGAAATTGCATCCTTATTATAAGTTTTAAGTTCTAGAAAGTTTATTTGCCATTAGTCTGCGCTTTACAAAAGAAAATAATTGCCTTTTTAATTTTCTTTCTTTGTTTAATAAAACCTTTTAGTTCCCTGTACTTGAGCAAAAGCCAACTCATAGATGTTACATGGCACCAGGAACTTCAGCCTTAATATTTTATCAGAATAAACAATATTTCAGGAGGATAATAATTTACCAGGAACAACGTATCATATACTTTGCCAATCAATCTTTCTTTTTCATTCTATCAACAAGCTTGCATCTGCTCAGTTAACACTGGGGACCAATTTAGTGGGCTTTGGATTAAAACAAAGATAGATTTTTTTTTGTGTGTCCCCAGCAAATAAATCCTGTAAATATTCCTCCCAAAAGACAAAAGTTTAACTACAAAGTGCTTAAAGATTCACTTGGAGATTTACAAGGCAGCGCAGTTTAAGTGCTTGGAAGAAAGATATAAAGGGAAAAGGCAAGACTGAACAGTTCTGCACAACAGACTGTGAAGCCAACTGTATATGTATTTTTAAATGCAGTTATAAAAATGTAACTCTATTTAGAACTTTGATAAATACCTGACCAAAGTTGGGCAATATATCTATTTCTGTACTTTAAATTTACAAAAAAGTCAATTTAACAGCCACAGTTGGTAGATGATCTCTATAAGATCTTGGAAAGGTTTTCTGGAGTAATATATTTCATTTTAACACTTGCAAGTTTTGCTTCCCATACTTAGTTGCAGGCAAAAGGATGTCAACAAGTAGCTATAACGCATAAACTAAGATCTCCACACCAATAAATACATGACCAGGTCATACCTGGGTGGATAGGCTGGTTGCTGGGCGACTAGAGGAAGCTGTGTGCTATTTTAGGCTGCAGTTCAAAAGCAGAATAAATATTTCAAGATGTGAATAAGAAACTTTAGCATCATGTTAATTGATGAGAAGAGAGAAGCAAAAAAGAACAAGATGCAGAGTCAAGAATGCACATGAGTTTCATTTTTATTCTGGCAATAAACCAAAAATTAGTGCAGTACTCCATATAATAATTGCACAATCTGAATTGATTTTAACACTTTTTTCAAGTTAAACAGTGGAAGACAGAAAATATTCATCTGTTTTTATTTATTTATTTATTTATTTATTTATTTATTTATTTTTTACAATCTGCAGTGGTGCGTTAACCCTTTATGTCCTAAATTTAAAACCACCGCCTGGATATCTTTTATTTTTATTGTACGCAGTTATTTAAATGTCCTGTGAGTACATATATTTGCCCATTTATCCATAACAACTGGAACTTTCAATATCTAGTAAGTTCTTTTCGCAATTTACCGCCTATTAAGAGAGCGCCACCCAGATCAATTTCCCTGCTAAAGACGGGGGTAAAATTACCGTAATTGCTGAAAAGCGCCACGTTGGAATCTTTCAGATAGCGCAAACTATGGCGGAATTACGGTACCACAACTTTGGCTGGATCGTCGCCGCTACGTTTAGGACTTAAAAACATTCAAACTAGCTATTGATTTAGAAACCCTTCCCCAAATTGGACTCCTGTAGTTCTTACAGTTTTGCGGTGTCTTGATATCAGCACCTGAAGCTCGCTGCGAGTCAAAAGACAACTGAAATGCGTTTCCCACATCTGCTTAACTTGATTGGCCAGTTTTCACCTGCATGTCATCAGATGCGTTTGCTTTATGAACGACATTGTAAAACGCTCTTCTTGGGAGGCCATGTGCAGACTCTGTTTTTTTAAATTAAGTTGTAGTTTATTGTTGTTTTCCAGTCACAGTCATCATTCCCATAAATCATACCAGCTCCATTTGGTGTACAGTACCTTAAAACAACCACATATTGCTTTCATATGTTCATATAAAAGCAATGATTTTTATTTCACTTGTCTTTTAAAAGATGAAAGTGGTGTTGAATTCACTGCCAGAAGAAGGAAAATGAGCAGGAACATAGAACTTCATAAGCCATTTATTCCCAGTTTATCATTCACAGCTTCGGTTTAAAACAGATTTTTTTTATTTTATTTAAGTTTATTAATATTCATCTCATAAGAATGATAATAGTATTATTTTAAGTGGAGTATTAAAATACGCGAATTAAAATACGAAGAACATGACGGGTGAGTGTGTGAAACTGTGTCCCAGTGTGTGTGTTTTGGCTTCTGGTTCGTCTGCTGTCGATTTTTCATCCTGTTGTGACGATTGTGGAAACCTCTCATGATTTAGACACAGCACACACTCACCACGCAGACACAATAACCGAATGTGTAACAAATACACACAGTGAACAGCAACACTATGGGGAGGAGTGAGAAACCATACAGAAAAAGATGGCTGCACCTACACATGTACTGACACACACACAAAGCCTGGACTGAAGGCGATGATACTAAAAGCTTTTTCGTCCTCTTCTAGTTTGCCTTGGATCTGTTATCACACTAATTTCCCCTCTTTCTTCCCGTTTCCACTCCTCTGTTTTCTTCTCCTCCTGTAGAGAAAGAAAAACATGAATCTCATTAAAAGAAATCCAGATGTGCTTAACAGTCCTCCCGGGACCAAAAGACGGAAAGGATGGAAAACCTTTATGGCCTTTTTTTTCTTTATGATTCCCATGCAGGCAGCTTTTCAGCAGCACTGTTGCTCATTTACCAAGGTGGAGAGAGAGAGAGAGAGAGAAAAAACACAACTGGGGCAAACTAGTAAAAGGTTAATAGGGTTTGACCTCTGTGTGTGCTGCAAAAGGTAGGCAAAACTGAACATTTTCCATCTTTACATACAGCTTGCAGTCCAATCCAAACACAAAGCCTCGATAAAAACCTTACAGTGAAATACACAGCATTATAAAGCGCTTTTCTAGTCATACTGGCCACTTAAATCACCTTACACTCCAGCTACATTCACCCAGCTGCACTCAGTTGCACACATTCTTCTACCGACAAACAAATTGACGACGTGTGACTGGGGGAAGCTGGAATCAAACCCACAACCCTCCAATTCCACCTTTCTCATCTGGACTTTGGTCCATTACTCTTGTAAGTCGTGTCTGCGGACATCCTCAGACTCATTTTCAGCTCTGCCCGCTCATTTTCAATGGCTACTTCACAACATTGCCTTTGTTGTCCTCAAGCCACTTTGTAGCCAATTTGGTGCAGTGCTTAGGGTCACTGTCGACATGGTAACCCTATTTGTACCAGAGCTTTAAATTCCTGGCTGACATGTTGAGAAATTGCTTCAATATATCCACATAATGTTCATTGGTTATTATCCCGTATATTTTGTAAAGTGGACCAGTCCCTTACTTCACAGCTGAGACGTTCTCTGGCTTCTAAACTCCCTGAATTAAAGTCAGACGGTGAAAACATTGTCCTATTTCTTTACTACAAAGTTAAGGTAAGGTAATTTATAGCACATGTTCAGCAACAAGGCAGCTCAAAGTGCTAGATATCAAATTACAACTTTATTATGAAGTAACAACTGGACGAACTTTGACAGTGGGTTAGCTACCTTGCTAACAGCATCGATAACATTAGAAAATGACAGATAGGAAAACTTTAAAGACAGGATTCTTATTCACACAGCAGCACATCTCCTCATCAGTGGTGAGTTCATATTAAGATTTATTGGTGTGTGTGTGGCTTGTATCCATTGTTAGCCTTAGCATTTGCAAGCTAGCAGTAGGAATACATCGCCTGCATGATGAAACGAGGACGTTTTGACCTCGGTTGTTCCACACCGGTTCTCCTCTACCTCGTTCACAGGTGGGCTTGTGTTGCAGGGACCACATCAGTATCTGTTTTCACCCCTACAACAATAGCCCCCTTTTGTTCTGACCCATTCTGCTCCGTCTGCCTCCTCCTCCTCTTTCAATCCTCTGGCATTCCCACCTCCCCTCATCTCAGAGCACCTCTATCTTCCCCCCTTTCAGACACGTCTCTGTTTTTCTGCTTACGTCCAGCCCTTCTGTTTCCCCCAAAATTAAATACAAACTAAATACAAACTTCCACCTCAGTGGTGCAAGTTTATTACGATTGCTCTCCTGCGTCCAGTTGGGTCATGAAGAGCTCTGCGCAGGTCAAACAAGCATTCAGGGAAACCATATTTTAAGAATCCACTGTTTGTAAATGCTTTTAAACTGCAAAGCATGCAATGAGTTAAGGAGTATAGCAATTAAATAAGCAGGAGTAATGACTTATTAGAAAAGATGACAACAACAACAAAACATTTTAGTCACAGTCTAACATTTGGGGACTTCAAGAATAAACAGCTGATTTTTGAATATCTGGATTAAAAATCTTGCTCAGTGGTGTAGAAGCCATATGTACCAATGGCTTTCGATGCAACCACTACTGCGTATGTGATTTGAAGATTGCTGAAATCTGCTTGATTTCAGCACAATTACCCGAAGCACAAAGGGGAGTTCACCTTTGTGGTTTGTCAAAAAAGTCTGAGTTTTAAGCCGTAAATCCTTCATAGCAGCTGTTTTTCAGACAAGGCAGACTGTGGCTCCTTGGTAATTATAGTTTAAAAAGTGACTTTTGTGTTTGCTTGCTAAACTTGTCTAGTATTCGAAAAAGAACTTGGATGACTTTTAACATTTAGATTTGAGAAAAGACAAGAATAGAAAAGTCAAATAATTTTCAAGGCAGTGTGGCATCTTAATTTTGTGATTTTTCCACACAAACAGGAGGGGTTTTTTTTCCCTCTCCAGGTTAAAAGTTTAGACTGATGGAATTAGGTATTTTTAAAAAATGTTTTTTCTGCGTTTAGCTCAGCAGCTCTGCTGCAGAGCTAAATCTGAAGCCTCCTCTTTCCCCTGTGATGTATGTAGGCTAGTCCCAGATTAGCAAGTGAACTGGGTTAGTTCTTCCTGGGCTTGATCTGCTGCCTGTGGGACAATGCACCTTCTTCCATTAAAAAAACGAGTCTCCTGAGAGGAAACGTGCTGAACACTACTTATAACTCCGAGGATGGGTGTTTTGGGACAAGTGGGACACATTCTGGGTTGGGGTTTCTTTCCTAAAAAAAATATATATATATATGCTGCATTTCACATTTACTTGTTTAAGACAGAACCAGCTTGTCAAGGATAAAAGTTTGCATTTACGTGATGGACGCCTGTGCAATCGGGCACAGCTGAACTCACTGCTAAAAGTGTTACCTTCTATTTTTGTACGTGTAGGTCCCAGAGTTTCACCGAGATGGCACAGCAAAGCGAAAGTCACTGGAAGGCAGCGCGGATAATCCTGTCGCTGAGCGGCTGGGTGGGGCGGAAGTTGTCCCCCAACATCCCGTCGTTTCCTTCAAGTAGCTCCGCCCCCTTGATGTGCGACCGTAACCTCCGAAACTCCTCGATCTGCAAACAGAAAAGTGAAAACAAACAAAAAAAAAAGGCCACAACCTCATGTCCCTCGGTCCCTTACTGAGGGACACTTCGCTACAAGGTTCACTGCTACATCTGACGGTATGATGTTGTTGGATTATTCAGACACTTTTCTCTTTTGTTTCTCCAAAATATTAATGTTTGAGAAAATTCGAGTAGAAGATGTGTAGGCGATGCATGTCTTATCTCTGATCTGTTGAGGGGAAACGTTTACGGCTTTGTCATTCTTTGCCCAAGAATGTTTAAAAAAAAACAAAAACAAAATCAAAGCCACAAACAGAAAAAAACTGAACATTTCTAACTTCCTTTTCATGTGAAATTGCTGCAGTTGCAGATTGCATCTCTTCTTCAACCACATAACAGAGAGAATCACCCACGTCGCTAAAACAAACAGCAGTTCTCGAACTGCTGCGCCGTTGGTTGGCTGCCCAAACTTTTACGGCGCCCTCTAAAAGTGCAAAGGCTGTGGGCATGGCAACGGGTGTCTGGCATGTATGTGTACACACTCACTCTGCACACACACTCTCTGTCTTGTAGCAATTGATAACAGCAGGATGTTTGAAGTGCGTTTATTAGGAAAGCAGGGCTTGGTGGGGGGGTTTCCTTATGCTTTATTTGGTTCATCCAGTTAAAGCACGACAAGAAAGCTTCACGCCACTGGAGGAGTCTGTATGTTCAGTGCATTTTGTTTTGCACACCTAACATTATTTGCAGTATTTTTGTCCATATTATTCTGACAGCTGCTGAACCGGTAGTCTGTTGGTTTAGAACAGAGATGAAATCTGAGAAAAATGTTAGAAATGTGGAACAAGAGGCAATAAAAGGATCGCTAAGACAAACAGAAAATTAACAGTTGAGATGAAGGCAATGCAGTTTTGTAAACTAACATTTTTTTATTATTATTGGAGTTTTCTTCATTCTAATCTTAAGGATTCTAATAGAAAACCTTGATGATGAACTACAAAGTGGATGATGTAGTTCGCTTAGAAAACAAGAAATGCCCACTGGACTCGGCAAGCATCGGAAAAAAAAACATATATATCTAACGTCACTGTTAACGTCACATTGAGCAAAAAGACCAATTATTTATTATTTGCAAATGAAGGGACACACACCAGTTTTTGCTTTTCAAAATTTTAGAACCCGATGAGCCCACATGAAAGAGACATAAATATGTTTCATTACTGAACAACAACAACAACACAACTGGCCACTGCGGCGTTACCCACTGGTGTCCAGATCTGCTTAATAACAATGGAAGTTTCCTGGGAAGTTATCAATTCATCAGAGCGAGTCAATCGCATTTATCCGCCCATGTCCGGATTTGCTGCAATCAGGAGCCACTAATAGCTCATCTGACCCGTTTCTAATTGTTCCATTATGCTGAACCGCAGGAGAAAACCAGCTCCTGTTAAGTGCTTCGTCTGACATGCTCATCGTCTGAATCCTTCTGTTTTGTTGTTGGCAAATAATTTTCATTACTTTGATCCGGATCTTCGTTCTAAAACTCAGTGTGAAATGAAATACACAATTCTGTTCATGTCTTAAAGGTACGGACGCACGCGAATTTTGGTTAAGTCAAAACAAACTGATTTATCGTCTTCAGATCTCGCCTGCTTTCTTTTCGCCCTGTGCACCCGCACCGTACACACGGCCCGAGGCAGAAAGACCTCTTTGTGCGCGCATTTCAAAGGGTCAGCAAGCCAAAAGTGTAGTCAAGATGAAAGACATAAATAAATGTCAGAGGGCTAGCACCTTTATCTATTACAAAAAAAGAAAAAAACCCTTTGGAGGAGAGCCACGAGTCGGGCAAAGGTTGAATTAAAGTTTAAATCAATCAAAGGCAACATGACAGACTTATGGATTGGTAGTGGGTGGAAAGGCTTCCTGCATGGAGCCAGAAAACTCCAGTTCATGCTCCTGTAGATTAATAATAATAATCAGAGACGGATGGTGCAGTGATTATTTAGTTATAAAATGCTGAAAATGCTGAAGAAAATAAATAAATAAATATGGTAAACTGGGTGAATCAGTCATTAGCTAGATGATTAGTCACACCTCTGATTTTTATTGCTCCAGCCTTTATTTTCAGTGTAAACAGTTTATGCTTTCTTCAATGTGACGGAGGTTTCAGACTGAGAGAGAGCCACTAAAGATAAAGAAAGCCTTTAAAAAAAACAACAAAAAAAAACAAAACATTTTTGCTTGTGGGAGAATCTAAATGTCTGACTCCGTACCTGTAGCTGTGAGATGGTGAGGGGATAGCGGAAAAGTATCCAGGTCACTTTTTCACTACAAGGCGGCGTGGTGAGAGATCCTTCGTACACCCAGTAGTCTCTCAGCAGCGGGTCTAATGATCACAAGGAGAACATTTAATCCTCAACTATACTGGGTCAAAATGCTGGCTTTTGCAAGAACTTAATAGTTTCCCTCCCCTTTGCTCTTTTTAAATAAGAGCAAAGGACTTTAACTCAAATGGGAATGAGGCATTGTTCTGTATTTATCATGGGCTCAAAAGAGAGGCACAAACTGCAAAACAAGTAAAAGTCTCAGGAATGTATCCACTGGCTTTAGTGGTGATAATAACAAGGGAGGAGAGGAACGACTGGAACATTCGATTTGATGAAACTATGACTTACAAAGAGAACATACTGTACTCCGATGTGGCACAAATAATTAATGCGTCAGACATTCTGAAACCCTCTTTCCTTCTCAAAATACCAGTCAGATGTTTCACCCTTCCTCCCCCATGTTAGCGCTGACTTTCCACCTGCTACATTTGAACAACAATAGTCATGTTTCGTCTGCAGATGTTATGTTGCTGTCCAGTTTCCTTGAAACTTTGAGCACAAAACTCTGGTAGTTATTCTCCCTATTGACATATTTGCCACATCTTGCGTGTTTTGCATATGCTAATATTAGATTTGATACAACTGTGTGCATGAGGGATTTTATGTAGCTTGTAAAAAAACAACTTCCTACTTGACATTTTGTCAATTTATGCAGTTCATAAAATGAAGAGAAATGTTGCTGGCATTGCTAGAAGCAGCTAGCACAACAAAAGGATGCAAAGCGACATGCACACCCTAAATTTGTCCAGTTTGACTCCTACGAATGTTGTTCCTGTCCTTGCAGCCAAACATAGCAAAATCTTTTTTGCAGAAACTGAAAATGCACATTCTTCATTTAAAAGGTGTCAGCTTTTGAGGTAGTGCTTCTTTCTTGACATCCTCTTAGTCCGTCGTGATGTTGAGCCAAATGTCGCTGTGGAAACTGGTGTTTTTTAGCAGCTTCCACTTCATGGTAAAAGTTGTTCCAAACCATTCTAGCCACTTTCCTTCACTCTCATGGTCACAGTTTTATTCAGATGATTGAAACATGGGAACAACTGGGTGTTCCAGTATGTTCCAGCACTTATTGATCTCATTCTTTCAAGACGGCCAGCACCTTAATCCAATTGAAAATTTCAGAGCGATAAAATATGTCAGGAAAGCAACCGGTTTAAATGAACTGCACCAAATCTGATTATGCCAAAAGCTTAACGACTTTAGATGCATTTATTTGACCCTGTGTGATTTTTATCTTGTACAGATCAGAGGGAATCAACAGCTTTATTCTAAAATAATCTAAAAGGGATTTTTCTGTTTTACTCCAACGAGCATTTGTAAACCTGTTTTTCTATTCTACGTCTCTCTAATTTACACAGGTGGCATCCAGAAGAATTGTTGTTATTTTCCATGTGCTTTTCTGTTCGGCCGCTAACTCGCACGTGCTGCTCAAATAGTTAAGGTGTTAACCTGAACATGAAGTTTTGAGATCGAATCGTTTCCGCCTTACCGGGTAGGAGCGTGTTGGGGTTAAAACATGGGATTATCTTGTTCTTCCCCTAAAGAAAACACAGTGGCAAAAAGAAGCAGTTACGCTCACGACCCATCAACCCTCACGGCCGCGATTCTGAATCAAATCTCTGCTGTGTCGCCATCACACACAGGCTTCACCTTGTACTGCAGGTCTTGTAGGACTTCGGTGATGGCCTTTAGTCCTAGGTGCTCTTTGCCGATCTGATAGAAACACATGCATTTTTGGGTTTCAGCACAGACTTATCACTGCTGTCGGCGGCTGTTTTCACAATGTCAGCCGCATTTTTTCAGCAGAGATAAAGTCCACGTTCTGTTATCATGCAGGAAGAAAAAGCGGAAGATGAAAGAACAGACATTGTAGAAAACAGGATGTGTGAGACTGAGACCTCGGGAGGTCAGGAACGACTGGTTTCAAAAGAAGAATGAGGTGTTTTCCTCGGGTAACGTCACTCAGCACAGAGCCGAGCTTCCACTTCGTAGGAGATCTTAGTCAACTAGCATGAATCAGCAGGAGATGTGTTTAAGCAATGATGAGTTTTATTCACCTCACTTGTAGTGGCTGTAATGCCGGTGCCTTATTTATGCATAATCTGAGATTATCAATGTGCTAATTAATAATATGTTGCAATTTATTAACCATATTATCGGACGAAACAAGAATGATGCTTAAATACAAGCACTAATTTACATTTCCTGAATAAAATATTCACTAAGACCTCGAAACTCTTCAGAAAAAAATAAATCTCTCTGATATGATCTGATTTCCAGGTGTGTACGGCTTGATGCTTACCTGGACAAAAAGTGCTATGATGAGGACTCCATTCTTCTTCCCCAAAGCATCTTCTAGAGAGTTAAACAGAGTGTTGTTCCAGTGAATCAGATGGAGCTGAGGACAAAAAAAAGAAAAACAAAGAAACTAAAACATAAACTGCAACCGGAAGGGCGTTTCAAGTCGTTAACGCGATGAGTTTGCAGGAAACATCAGATGAACTCCTCGTCTGGTTTACATAAATCAAAGACTGGCTGGAAACTGTAAAACTTTCCAAGTGAAAAGTCTAATGAACTGGACATATCCTGATTTCTCTGTAAAAAAAAAAAAAAAAAAAAAAAAAATAAATTTTAAACAAAATTGTTGGAAAAATTGCTTTTTTTGGACTCCCATTGTGTGCTACATTTACAGCTGAAGCAGAGTACTTGAATACACTCTATAAAAAGAAGGTGACTCAGAATTACCAAAATGACTTGCATCAAATTGAGAAGCTTAGAAGCACTGAGACATTTTGTGAACACCCAGACGATGATGTTGTAGATTTTTTTTAAAGCTTAAACTTGTAGATCTCCACAGATCTGGTTCATCATTTGGGTTTATCTGCTCAAATAATGGTATGCAAGTATAAAAATCAGGGTAATGTCCAGCCATATTACAATTTAGTAACATCTACACATTTCATAAAATAGATGCCATCATTCGAGCAACATTTTAAGACGTCAGCCGGGAAGTTGAGCTTGTTGGGCACAAGAGGTGCAATGATTCTAAACATGCCATCAAAATTCATCCTGACAACAAAGATGATCTCAATCCCATTAGAAGTTATTTGGCAGAGACTTAAAGGTGCCTGTGAGCAAGGCGACCTACAAACTTGAATCAGTCAAAGCACTTCCTTCAGGAGGAATGGGCCAAAGCTGCAGCAAACTGTCGAGGAAGGTTTTTTTTTTAACAATACCTAAATAATTAGCCAGTAATTCCATCAAAGTGAGTAAAATGTCTTTGAGCTAAATTTGAATTAAGTTATTAAAAATGATCTAAAAACCTATCTTTGGTATTATTCCTAACTGAGCTAAAACAAAATTAAATTTCAGTCTGATTTTTACAAAGGGAAAAGGAATGGGTTTTTTGCTTTGTTTTTAATGCGGTGTGTCTGAACATCTGGTTTCAACGTTGCCTGCTGCTTTCAGTGCAACCTGATTCTGCTCCAAGGTCAGCTGGTTCATTTTCCATCCAGCATCTTCCTCTTGTAAGATAAGCTAATGGACAACATGAGGGCAACAATACTCACTCTCTGGAGAGGACTGGCTGCCCGACAACAGCTAAACGATTATCTATGTTTGTTTTGTTTTTTGATTTTTACAACATATTAAATGCAACTTTTAAAAGCCAAAGCCTTATTTTCAATTGCACAACTCACAACAGCCAAATCAAATATCAAGAGAAATAAAATATTCTCTAAACAGGCAGGAAGCATCACAGTAGTTCGATACAGCGACCTCTAGTGGAACAAAGTATTAACTTAAACTAAACACCACCAGGCCTAAAGAGATTCTGCTTTAATAGATATTTTAGATTTCATTTCAAATTGAGGTTATGGGGAGTAAATATCTTAACCTGTGGTATAAAACTTGCTTTGATGGAACAGATTAATCTTCCTGGATTTCTTTTAACATCTTCAGTTTGGGAAAGTCATACAGTAGATGCATATCGTGAGGCAATAAAAGCAAATTTTACATCTTACACACTTAAGAATCACTTTGTCGTTCACTCAGAGAACTGTGTGTACTTTCAGAACATGTAGAAAACAGAGGCAGGATTTATAACTTTGTAGTTTTTACCTGATTAACACAAATAATATTGTTTTTTTCCTAAATTTGGTTGAGATCTGGATTCCAGTGCTCATGCGGGTTAAATGCAATCAAAATAGTTGCGCACCACGTTGCCTTAGAGTTGACTAAGACATGAACCTCTCAGATGTGTGTAACAAACACATGAAGACTAGTAAGAACGACGTTCCACTCACCCACTCTAACTTTAGGTGAGTGAAGTCATTGTTTATTGATCTTGCTCGGTCATTCAGGTTGCAAGCCACCTCTGTGATCTTCAAAACACACCTGCCAAGGTTGGACTGAAGGCTTAATCAATCCACAGAGGCTGCTGGCTGATACCTTACATTAAAAGAATCAGACAATGCCTGTGAGCTTTATGAGTCACAAAAGGATCCGCAATATGAAGAAGGAGATCTGGAGCAAGTGTTTAGTTTGTACTTTTTGTTGCACTACTCCAAATGCACCACTCCTAAATTAGTTGTAAGGTAATGTAACGATTCCCTTCCTTACTGTATTCTAAATAGTCGCATTGTATCAGAAGAGTTACTTGTTTGGGCTCAAGCAGCTCCAATGTTATGCACATGAGGACCAATGTCTGATCCGGAGGTATAAACACAGGATAGCTGTGTTTTCCCTTGGAGCAGGGTGCGTTGCTTGTCCTGCGTACCTCCATGGGGAAAGCCTTGAAGTTGACCGTGTGCTCTGATCCTCTCTGGTTCTCTTTGCCCCAGTGGAATCGAACCTCGTGAAGCTCGTACTCATGATCACTAGGCAATGGACCCCCGGTAACCACTGACAAAAGCAAAGGAAACCACAATCAGGTCTAAGCAAGTGTAAACAGGAAGCAAAAAGCATAATTCAACATGTAGAGAGCGGCTCAGCAGCAGGGGAGAAAATGGGTCATGTGGGGTTGGACAGAGGTGATTTTGTTTTCTCTTGTAACAAGCAACACCGATAAACCGCAGCGACTGACGTCGATATCTGATACATGCTTCTTGCTTTCTCTCAGGGTGTCTTAGGACTGACCTGACTTGGACTTGAGAAGGATGCGGACAGTGTGCCCGTCGTTGATGACTTCACACTCTCGACACACCACGTAGTTTGGCGATAAGCCAGCATCCAGGAGGGAGGGGTCATACTGCGCTTCCCTTGAGTTGAGATTAATCGGAGACTGGTACTCGCCGTTGGCCGCTGGGAAATGGAGTCCCCATTCTACACCTACGAGTGAAAATCCACAGCAAACATTTATGTTTCTGTCCACGTCTGAATCGTCAGCTTGAAACATTTTACCATTTAAAAAGCATAGCCAGAGTTCGCCCTATTCTCTCCGTCGCTAATACTGAGACTCTGATGCTTTTATTTCCAGCTGTGTAGACTATTGTAATGCCCTGCTTTCTGGTCTCCCTAAAACAATAAAATAAAACCGTGCACAGCCTTCTGCTGTTACAAAACTCTGCTGCTCAAGTGCTAACCAAGACCAGGAGGCAGGCTCACATTACACCTGTTTTAAAATCGTTGCATTGGCTCCCAGCACGTCTCTGGATTGATCTTATGATTCTCTTACTTGTTTTTAAATGTCTTTATGGTCTTGCACAATCTTACCTTGCAGAGCTGCTGATACCTTATGAACCTCTGCGGGCCCTGAGGTCCTCTGGCTCCGGACTATTAACGGGTCCAAGAGTCAGAACACACACTTATGGTTCTGTCTTATTTCCAGTATTACGGCCCTCGTTTGTGAAACGGTCTGCCAGAAAACCCGAGGGCCGCAGAAAATATGTTGCTGTATTTAAGAGACCCGTCTTTTTAACTGTATTTCCTGAATTCAGTTCTGTTGAGTATGTGCATTTTACATGCAGCTGTGTGTTTTCCCATGTGGAGTTGGGGCGGGTAATTGTTTGTTTTTATTGATCTGTACAGCACTTTGAGCTGCTGTTAGTATGATAGGTGCTTTATGAGTAAAATTGATTGATTGATTGAGGTCTTTATTAGTTTTCCTCATTTAGAGACAGAAACTTTTGCTTGTTCCTCTTTGCAAAATCGCTCAGGTTCAGTCAGATTGACTGCTTTGCCACAAATTCTCAATTGTATTTCGTTCCAGATTTTAAATAGGCCATGCTAGCACCTGTGTTGCTCTGATTCATTCTGCTGTAGCTCTGGTTGTTTGAAAAGGATTTCTTCCAGGATCATTGTGTTTCTTGATCTTCCTAATTCAGTTTGTCATTTGAGACCTTCACAGAACACCTGGATTTATACTGAAGTTAAATTACACTGAGATGGGATCCAATTACTAATCACGTGGCTGCTGAAGACAGTTGGTTCCGCTGGATTTCGTTTGGAGGCAATACATTAAAAAAAACAAAAACAAAAAAAAAAACAAAACAAGGCTGAATGTCAGAGTTTGGCGTTGTTGCGCCTGTGCGTTGTGTGTTTTCCCTGGAGGGTGGGAGTGAGCTGGGGATGCACTCTCGCACCGATTCATCAAGCTCTAAAAGGTTGCATCCTGGAAATACTGTATGTATTTCTGATGTATTTTATTCATAGACGTGAAAACCCACTGTTTTGACAGAGGATGTGGCAGTAGTGGTGATTCAAAATGGCACTACCTGCCTACTCGTTTTATTGTTTGCACATGTCATTTTTCTGACGTCCTTTCTCGTCAAGTTTGAAATTGGTTTCTCAGAGTAGTAAAACTGACACCTGTGATGGAGTATTCTGATGGAAATGATGAACAGCGGTGGTTCTCTCTACTCTGTTTTTCGTGTTTGGTTTTGAAACAAAAAGTACTCTGTAAGACATGCCGCGTCATTATATGTGTAAAACTCAAGTCATCGTAACAATGGTCCAGCTGCATTGTCTTTATTTAGTCTTCCATCTGAAACCAAAGGATGGTTTACCACCACATTTTTGTGATTTAATGATGCCACTAGGTTGCTAGGTGTTAAAGGAGTGGTACTAAACCTATTCAAATACTTTGTGGAAAAAATAATAATGATAATGTTCTGTAAAGAAAAAAAAAGGTTTCATGATCCTTTAATAAATTCACCAAGAGAATCCTTCAGATTGATTTAAATCAACTTTGTCTTATTCAAGAGTACTGTGATCCATGAAGAGCGCTGATAAAAAAAAAGGGAGTCTCACATGAGCACATAAATAAGTCTCTCCTTTAATGAAAGTCAAATGTTTTTCAGTTAATTTTGTGGTGCATCTGCTGCCTCCTGTGAGCTTTCACTCTCTGAAACACTGCAGCCTCTGCTGTCACTGCTGTGACTATGAGGGTGTTGAGATCTTGAAAATGAAACAGGTCATGGTTACAGAAACAGGGTCATATTGTCCTACCTAATACAAGTAATCATAAAACAAAAACCATGCAAGCATGCATAGAGAGTATAGAGACTGAGATTTTGTAATATGTTTGTCCGTACAGCATCAGATGGAATCTATTTCAGACAGATGCAAATTCATTATGTCTACTCTGACTGAATGTGGAAGACGCCATGATACTATCAGTGACACTTGCAGTCTGGTTTCACTTGGTTTTGAGGGCAACATCATCACACAGTGAGAGCAGAACGCGTTGCAGTGAGTGTTTTTAAGGAAGAGGAAACAATCACTTTAAAAAACTTTAGTCCCTCCAAAAAACAAGCCGAGTGAGAGTTTAGAGAGAAGCACATGCTTTTCTGCAGCAGGAACTGATGCCTTTCTCCTCATCCATGGAGAAAAGAGGGGAGGCTGCCACATTCCCTCCTTCCTCAGCAACTAAAGCCATGACAACAATTTTCTGAGCACACACCGGGTTGCCCTGCAGCACTGAAAAGACTAAATTCACCCGGCACTCAACTATGCAAGGCCCAGTAGAGACGATTTGACTTTCTTTCCTCTCATTTTGTCTTTTTAAGATCAACTAGAGCTCCTTCTTTTACTTATATGCTTATGTCAAGCTGTGGTTACAAACTTGCCAGAAGCTCGTTCCCACTGGATTTTAAAAAACATAAAAAATCACTAACAACCAGAACATTCCTGACATGTGCCAAGAGAAAAAGCTGCATCAGTATTCGGTCCATGCCTGAACTTCAGCCAGCATGGACAGTTATTGTTTCGGGTTTGTGTTGACGCAGTAAAGCTCTCTACGTAGAAGATGGAGTGGAAAAAAATGAATACACTATTTTACCATTGTACGTCTTCACTTATGGATGAACTGAATCTCTGTAGATTTTACCTGACAACAAGCTCGTGTGAACTTACAGACGCAAACAAATTTGTTGGCACCCCTGGTAAAGACGTGCCCTTAAAATAAATCAATTTTTATTGTATAGCAACACAATTATAATATGAACATTTTTTGAAAATCCAAACGTCTGTTTGACTAAATTCACTCAAAGGGGAAAAATTGCCACATGAGAAAATAAGAGGTTTTAGCTAAATTACTTTTGTCTCTATGTTTTCACCACATATTTCAGATTAGTTTCATGCTGACAGACAATCCATTTTAAGAGGTTCCCTCACGCCGTGCACTCAAACGAGGTTTCCAAGGTCTTCAGAAGAGAAACAGGCCCACACCATCACTCAACCTCCGCCATACCTACCAACAGCCATTAGGATTTTTCCACAGATTCATGCTCTGTTCCACACCAAATCCATCAGTATTGTTGGTTGGTCAAAAAAAGCACACAATTCCAATTTAAGTCCCTGGATAGTTTATGTGGTGATGGTAGATTTTCACTCCCAAATAACCAGTTAGCATGAAATCAGGGTCTAACAGTTTTCATAGAGGCTGAGAGGGCAAGAAGATTTTACCAGGGATGAAAACAAATGTGTTTGTGTCGCTGCAGAAAAGAAATTCAGCTGATTTCGGTTTTCAAACAGTCATGCAATTGTTCTTTAAAAAGTGTCTCGCTGCAGTTCTTGGTAACACTTTATTTGAAGGGGGTTGAATAAGACTGACATGACACCGTCATAAACATAAATAAGCCTTCATGAATATTTATGACTGTTGTCATAAAGCGTCATTCTGTAAATTTGGACACTTTTAATACAAAGTTGACATTATTCAAAATGTCTTTATGACAACTTGACATTAACCAGGAAATCATTACTGTTTAAACTTTACCTTTAATAACAAAGTTACCTAATTTTTAAAGTGCAATCAGTAATACTTTTATAACAAATTTATATCAGTAATGATTTCTTGGTTAATGTCAAGTTGTCATAACAAAGACATTTTGAATAATGTCAACTTCATATTAAGTGTCATAATTTACCGAATGACGCTTTATGACAACAGTCATAACTGTTCATGAAGGCTTATTCATGTTCATGACAGGTGTTATGTCATGTTAATGAAAGTGTCATGTTAGTCTTATTCACCCCCCTTCAAATAAAGTGTTACCGATAAATATTATTGGGTGTATCTGTTTAAATTTGAAACTTGTACGTCTTAATTTTCACTCACTTTGAC